ACTGTTAAAATGCCATAATCACATCAATGATTGCTGCAAGGTATTAATATACTTTTCTCACTAACAATAATTACATCTTTAGAAGGCCAATTCAGCTCTCAGTTACACTGGTATAATTCCAGAGTAGCTGCTCTGAAATCAAAGGACTTTCTCTGGTTTTATAATGGCATAATTGTGGTCAGACTTTCACCTAGACATTTTATAACACAGGAATGGTGGGAAAGATTTTGTTTTGAGTAAATTATTTCCCTCATAATATTCATGATTCCAAATGACATTTTTTATTTGAAGTTAATAAAAATAATTTGAAGAATGAACACAAAAAACTATTTCTATCACACATCGAGGGCTGTAGTTACATTCAGTTTTTACAAGTGGTAAATATTCTAATTCTTGAGCACTGCAGTTTAAAGAAGTGTACTTTATAACCTCAGGTACTAACTTTATCTTCACAACATTGTCTCATGTGCGAGTGCATTCACTGGAGTTGTAGTAAAGGTACTCACATAAGAGACCACCCACCTTCTCAAAGCACAGAATAACATCTGGGTGTAATTCAAATACAGATCCACATGAGTACATCCTAAAGGGCAAACCTTGAATGAGGCTAGTTAAAAGTAGTCATGTGATTACAACCATACATATTAGCAGAAAGAGCAAGAAATACTTCCCAGGCATTGGTCATTTTCTGTATCCGCACGGGAAACCATTTCTAATTCAAGAAAATTCTCGTATTATTTATTATGACCATAGGCAACAACTGTGTTACTCATTAAAATGCTAAAGTCAGTTAATGATTTAATAAATTGCAGACCAGGGGCGGGAAGGGGAAAGGCAGAAAGAGGGACTAGGGGAACTTGGACTTTGGGAAAGTTGTAAATACCTTCAGTGAGGTGCTAAGCACCCTCAAATTCATCAGCTTTGTTGCATTTGCTCCTGAATTCCCAGAAAGGCACTTTGCCAGCCTAAGCCTTTTGTCAGTGAGCTCTCTAGCCAGGCACAAGACACATTTACTTCGAACTAGATTTCTCCCAGGTATGTCAGAACAATGGGCCTATGCGGAGGCCAGACCCATTAAAGCATGGGTTCCCAAACTGGGAGGCATGCCCCCCTGAGGGGGCATGAAGAAAATCCTGGTGGGGAGGGGCACGAGGTGACCCAACCCTCTTCCTAAGTTTTGCTGCTATTTTTGTTTTTCTGCCCCGTTAGTTCCTTTTTTTTTTCTCAATGGCTGTCTAGACTGCATCCCTTTTCCGTAAAAGGGATGCAAATTAGACACATCACAATTGAAAATGAAGTGGGGATTTAAATCCCCCCGCTTCATTTGCATAAACATGGCTGCCACTTTTTTCTGGCTCGGGGCTTTGCCGGAAAAAAGTGCCAGTCTAGACGGGGATCTTTCGGAAAATAAAGCCTTTTTTTAAAGAAGAATAAGGGATCTTTCGGAAAAGTCTTTATTTTCTGAAAGATCCCCGTCTAGACTGGCGCTTTTTTCCTGCAAAGGTCCCAGTCCCCCCGCTTCATTTGCATAAACATGGCTGCCACTTTTTTCTGGCTCGGGGCTTTGCCGGAAAAAAGTGCCAGTCTAGACGGGGATCTTTCGGAAAATAAAGCCTTTTTTTAAAGAAGAATAAGGGATCTTTCGGAAAAGTCTTTATTTTCTGAAAGATCCCCGTCTAGACTGGCGCTTTTTTCCTGCAAAGGTCCCAGCCGGAAAAAAGCAGTAGCCATGAGGGGGGGGGGGGGGATTTAAATCCCTGCTTCATTTGCAATTGCGATGTGTCTAATTTGCATCCCTTGTACGGAAAAGGGAGGAAGTCTAGACACAGCCAACAAGTTTTGCTGCTATTTAGGGGAGGCATGAGGGTTTCTCAAAAAGGGGGGTGTGATGCCGATAAGTTTGGGAACCGCTGCATTAAAGAGAGATTTTTTTTCCTCCAGGAGTGCTTGCGAACAGACCATAGGGCTATCAGGTATCATTTTGCCACATGCCAGCTACCTGCCTTTAGCTTGGTAAATCAAACCATTAATATATTTAATACCATGACAAGAGGGTTAGATCTCTTACAATTCCAAACAAAGCATTTCATGGTGTGACATTACTAAAGCAGGGGAATGGGGAGGAAGCGCATAGCAAAGTTTTATTTGATGACTAGGCTCTTTCCTCCTTCCCACTCTGGTGTGTGAGCTTTCCTTGAGCAAAACACAAACTCCCGAAATCTGTGCCAGAATCACTATTTTATTTGTATTGTTTGTCCAAATAAATTACAGCCTATGGTAACTGAGCTCTCTGAATACTCATTATTGACTATGCATGATTGGTCACCTAAATTGCAAGGGATTGGTTGAGTTCTCCACTTGAATGATATGAGCTTTATCAACAGAGGCATGCCTGAACAAATCACTATGTGCTTTGAATCTCTCAGGTGATCAGGGATGCAAGGAGCACATTAGGGTGAATAATTGCATAATCATAAATGAGGTTCATCTGCAGCGATAGCTCCATACCACATTTATCCTCAAGTGCTGCTGTTGTCCACCTCATCGCATAGAGATACCTCAACGTACTATCTGAAGACAGTGCCCAGTGGATTTGCACAAGAAATTGAAGAAGGATAATTAAAACCAATAAAATAGCAACATGCTTTAATCAGAATGAAAATAATGCTCAGCAAATATATCCCAGACAGATTAAAAATATTAATAAACCACAATATCAGCTTATTTGCATGAGTATTGAGTAGCACAGAGAGATAGAACCGGACTGGTGATCTCTGGAGCTTAGTGCATGATCCTGTGCATCTTGAGCTAAAAGCCAGCTGGCTCTCAGCTAAGGCTGTAACGCACACTCATTCTCTCTCTCTGTAAGTGGTCTCAGTGCCACTACATGGGACAGTGAACCATACCCCGTAGGTTTGTGGGTTACAAGTGCATTAATTTTTATACAGTTGCCATCCTCTAAAATAAATCTGGTATATTTGCTGTTGGAATTGTTAGATGATACCTAATCTGAAAATAGCAGTGCTAATGTGATTTACTCTACACTATATGACATTCAGCTTTTGTCACATGATGATGTAATGTAACATGCCATCAGCATGTGCCGTGAAACCAAGGTCACAACATAAAATACATTCTTCTTTTTGGCTTGGCTACTTGCGATCAATTTGTAGGATAAGTTTCTAGTCCAATGGAGGGGAAACTTGTGGCCCATGGACCCTCTGGCTGCTCCCCTCCTGCTTACATACTGGCACGGAGCCCTGCATTTCCTGCTCCTCCCCTTCCTCCCCAGCCCTTTTATAGTATGAAAATTACCTGTTTCATGCTCCATCCTTGTTCCTTCTCCTCCCTTCCAGCACTTGCAAAGCACCACAAATCAGTTGTTCGTGGCTGTTCAAGCTCTGGGAAGGAGGAGAAGAAGCAAGGCTGGAGAGCAAATTAAGTGATTAGTGGTGCTCCAATAGTGCTGGGAGAAAGGGGAAGGAGTCAGAAGGATGGGGCTCCAATGCCCTACTGAACGAGAGGTGCATGGGGGAAGGGGACAGCCAGGGCTCTATGGGGTTGCAGGCGGAGACCCAGAGGGCTATGAGGTGAAGGAGGGAGACTCATGCACCTCACTCACCTCACCTCACTGACGATCTACTGCTGAGCTAGTCCATTGCAATTTAGCGACCAATAACCTAAAGATTTCAAAGTATCTCCATTTAATTCAGTGCCTGCAAAATGTAACAATAACCTATTAACAATATCTGGATAATAAATGTATTATGATTTTAAAACTAATTTATAATCCTCAGAAGTTTAACCTCATCTTGTGCTTAGCTGGGGAAAGCATTTTTTTCTTTAGAGATGTAGAATTATGACTGGATTTTTTTCTTTATTATTACTTTTTGACAATTGGCTACTTTCTTTTTATTTAAAATGTTATTATAAGTTCTTAGTTTTTCCTTTTTAACATAATTTGTTGGTTAGACAAGACCTGTTATGTGGAATGTGTTAGATGAACATTTTGTAGGCAAAAGAACTTTCAGCGAGGGCTAAATCCTGCATGGTGTGGGAGTGCTGCAAAAACAAGGACTTGGGCATTTAGCCCAGGTTTTCCAGGCATGAATCAGAGTCTACATTACACCAATGAGCTCCAAACTGAAAATGTATAGCATTACCTGGTGTAAAACCAGGTATGAGTTCCTAACCAGGACCCCTGGTGTAAGGAAAGTCCTTAGAATTCTAGTACCTCAACTGAACTAAGCTCTCACCACTCAACAGCTAGTCACAGAGTAACATTGTAATCTCCAGCGAGAGGAGACTGCTTTGTTTTTCTAGGTGTATGATGAGTGTCCATGGCAACAGCTGAGGTCTGGGAAGGAAAATAGGATTATACAGAGGGGAAAAGCAGGCAACAATAAAGAGCCTTTGGGCCTCATTTGTGATGAACTACTTGGGTCACTGCCAAAGGTAATGAATTCATTGACCTAGGCTTTTACTAAGGATGGATAAGCATGAGGGATAGGAAGCTCAGATCACAGTGTGTCGTCAGCAGGTGAGTGTCCAATTTACTGATTCTCTGGTTTTTCATGGCATTCTGTTAAAATGCAAAAATAGGTCTAAGTCCATATTAAGGACAAAGGGGATGATCCTGAAAACATTATGTGTGAGTAAATGTAGCCCTCTGAATAGTGCAACTTACAAATAAGTCTATTTAGGGACTTGTGCAAGGGACTTCTCAGACTGGAATCTGAGAGGCTATGACTACACTGCAGAGCATTTCTGGGATACCAGAGGTATCCCGGAAAAGCTCTGCCACGTCCATGGAATGCTTCTGCTTTTCTGGAACAGTTTCCAAAAAAGCAGACGTGTTCTTTCAGCATCCCTGTATTCCTCAAAGTATGAGGAATAAGGGATGTTCCGAAAGAGGAGGTTTTTCTGAAATTTGGCCCCAAGTAGATGGGCCAAATTTCAGAAAAGCCTCTTCCGAAAAAAAAGAACCGCAATTTGTGTATCTTTTTCTGACTTTTCTTTGCAGTCTAGACATAGCCTTATTAAGCCAGCTATTAGCACTGCACCCCACCCACAATGAGGCTGCTTAGTACAAAGCACCCACAAAGCTGGGTTAGTGGAACATCCAAGGAGCGTGCTGGTGCAGGAGAATCCACAGGTGGTATAGGGCTATTGTAGCTGTCTCTATTTTATCCCATCAAGCTTTCCCTCCAACCCCTATCCCCCCGCAGAGTGGTTCTATAGAGGATATTCCTGGGGACAGAAGGAATAGCTAGGAATGGCTGTGTGAACGGCTCCTTGCAGACACTGGAGGCAAATACAAATTAGAGGAGACCTTAAACTACTCTAAGTTAAGCTAGAGACTTAGGTATATACACACACAATACATTCCCACTGGGTTGCATGAGTCTACAGAAATACATTTATTGGCCTTTGATGCTGGAGTTTTGATCTCAAAGGACTATGCCATTGACATAGCAAGCCCAGGGGCAGGTTAGTTCAACATTAACTAGCTGTAACCCGTCAGGCAGGAATCTATTACCTAACATTCAATTTGAAAACGTGTGTGCAGTGTTGCTATAGCTGTACTGGTCCCGAAGAAGAGCTCTGTGTAGCTTGAAAGCCGGTCTCTCTCATCAACAGACAATAAGAGATGTTTCCTCCCCCACTGTCATCTCCCTGAACTGAAAACATCCCATACACTTATTGAAAAGTTGAAAGCAATTGGAACCAAGGAAGAACCAGGGAAAAACCTTTCAACCAAGGAAGAATTTTAAACTCATCTGACCCTAGAATCACTCTTGAATTGATTCCCCACCATAAAGCCAGACTTATATTCACTTTCCTCAGATGAATCAGTTACTTTTTTAATGAGGAAAAATTTGCACAAGGAATGCATTTCCATTATCTATTTCTTCAGAACCTTTTCAGTCTTCTGATATAAACTGTCTTTTGTTCTGCCGACTGGTGCTGGGATTGGGCACTAATAGTTTGTAGTCTTCAAAAATACAAATAACACTGAATAGAAATTGAAATTTTTTGATTATGTGCACAACTACATAGAAACAGAGATAAAGAAGATTAAAAACTGAATGAACTGTTGGACAAAATATTTTTTTTCCTGGTATACTTTCAAGACTGGATAATTTTAATGGAGCTATGACATAGTCTACACTGGTCTGGCAGATAGTAAAACAAATTAGAATAAATGGTATAGTGAATGATGATAAACAGGGACAATAATTAAGACTTACAAGGACTGATGTAATATGCTATATTAATGGCTGGATAGACACTCAGAAAAAAGCTAGGAGGACTCAGGTTTTAACTGGTGATATTTTAAAGGAAAAAGTCAAACACTTCTGGAACAAACTAAACTAAATCTGATCACAGGATTATTGTATTTTGTTTACAGAAATGCCAACTCTTCCAATTTTCTTTACAATTATGGAAACAAAACCCTGATTTGTTAGTGAAACATCTTATGAAAAGAAGTTTGCAGGTCTCTTTGAAACATCTAATATTCCCTTGGATTTAAAGCATAGCATAGATTAATAGATTCTGAGCCAAAAGGTAACATTGTGACAATTGAGTCTCACCTCCTGCATAACACAGACAATTAAAGCCTGAGTTAATTCCTATTTGAACTAGAGTAGCATTTAGAAAAGCATCCAGTATTTATTTAAAAATGTCAACTGATGGAAAATCTACTGCAGCCCTTGGTAAATTGTTCCAGTGGTGAATTTCCCAGATCCCTAGATTCAAATTCCAGTCACTCAGTTGTGTTTTATCTTCATCTGTTAGACTGAAGGGCCTTTTACTACCAAATCTCTGTTTCCACATGTGGGTAATTATAGCCTGTGATCGAGTCACCCTTTAACCTTCATTTTGATATCTTAAAGAAACTGTGCTCCTTGAGTCTTTCAATAAGGCATGGTTTCCAGTTCTTCTCCGCTGAACCCTCTCCAGCTTACCAACATCATTTTGAATTGTGATCACCCAAACTGGACAAAGTATTTTAGTAGCAGTGGCAGTAGTAGTAAACACAGAAGCAATATCATGACTCTACTTCTACCCAGTATTCAAGCCAATGATCACATCAGGCTTTTTGGCATCACCAAGCAAATATTCTGACCCACATGTGGAGTGAAAGACAAACTTTTGCTAATGATCTAATTCCCACGATAACATTATAAAGCAACATGGGATTTATTTATTCTGCTGAAAATGAAACCCCTGAATACACAAAGAACAGCAAAAAGGGATACTGTAATTCTTAAGCTCAGCTGGAGAGAGAGATTTTTGAACACACGTATGTAATATGTGTACACACACACAGTAATGAAATATTTAATATTACTCTGGAACACTAAGTGGTAGGTACAGCATTTAATTATTAGAAATTAAGATTTAATTTAATTAAACAGGCAAATGGAAAAACTTATTTTAGGCTTCTCAGAACATTTCATGTATTAGCAAGCTTTACAGAGAGAAAAATAAAGTGATTATTAGGGACCTCAGTACTGTCTGGAGAAGAATTAAAAATGACAATGAATCTGGTTATTACTATCACTTCAGTACTCCACTATAATCTATTATGCTTTCTCAGCTAGTTAATGAAATTCTTTGTCCTACACACAAAAGACCTGCAATGTAATAAACTTATTAACGAACATTAGTCAGCCTCTCTGAAGAAATAAAAAGGATCACTAGCAAAGAAGGGAGAATTTAATTCGCTTATTTAACAATGTTACTGTTTTGTAAAAAAAATACAAGTTTTAAAATGCTTATCCCCTCATGCTATACACAGTTCTTTTGTAAAAGATTTGTGCTTGTATTTTTCTGAACATCTACATCCAATTTTAAAAAGTGGAAACAAAGGTATTGCTTTTAATCCATTCCAGGACTGTAACTATAGAAAATAAAGAAGAACTAAATGCTTTCTCAGGAAATAAGCTTTTACAATTCTCTCATGCCAATCTGCTTTTTCCAGTATTTATTTATTGTAATTCAGGTTTGTAGACTTTTGACCATCACTGGGAACTTCATAAGCTGTAAATCGTGTGCCTAATTCTTAGCATTATGTACTGTACCAGTTGCCAATCTGCATTAAGTTCAGTTTGTTTCACACATGAAACAATTAAGCAATAAGGCACAATGTGGAGGTGTGGTTATCTGATGATAATCGCAGCTTCCTGAACTTGCTTTATTGCAGTATAAAGGGTATTTCAGATTGCTCACAGGAAATTAGCAGCACGAGAAAGTTCACAGAGATTAGTGTATTCCTTTAGCATGTTGAGCTCACTATTTTTTTTCTAAGTTGCTTTGCTAAGTACAAAGGAGAATGACATACACTCAAAAACATTCTAATAGGCGGGTGCATATTCCATAGGGGAGGTTAATTTATAAGCACCACACGGTTCTGCTAAAACTATTTCTTAACACTTCAATATGTCAATAGTATGTGTTTCCAGCCCTGTAAACAGTATTTTGATCCACAATCTAAACATTAATAGTAGTTTTAAGACACCTCAGGGTTATGGTTATTTAAGCAATAAGACATAGCAGGATGTGAATTATGGTCTAATAATTCTACACCAACTATATTATTAGGCATGAGGCCAAAGACAAGGACAATTGGACACACTATGTGTGCATTATTACATCATAATTCATACTCTAGCATTCTCTTAATGCAAACAGAAATCTTCTAAACATGTTTTTATTGTATTTTACATTCATAGTCTGATAGCCTTTCAACATTAAAAGCTGTTCATTGTTGATACTGGGATCACTATCAATCAAAATATCTCTATATTATTTGTTGTTTGTTTTGTACTGTGGCTACATGCTTTAAGGAGGAACCCCAGAACCAACATTTTTTATTTCAGATCTTGAAAATAAAATCAAGAACTTTTGGCACCCAATAGAAATACAGTAACATGTGTCTATTACCCTGTCTACAATAGTATAATGGGTACGTCAATTTTGTATGAACTTCTTGCATGTAACTGTATCAATGAAATGAGTTATAATGCTAGCCTAGCATATTTTCATTTTCCCAGTGCTGGATTAGTATGCTATACAATTCTTTAAGAGTGAAGAGTGTTGCTTAGACCCCCATCTCTGCTCCTTTAGCGGGGATTGACCAAAGTTCTGAGACTGCTTCTAGCTAAGTTTGACAATGGTGTTATGTGGACACAAACTATGCAATGCCATTTTGAATTACACTCAATAAATGTATTTATCAGTTTTTAAAAGTTAGTAGTATGGATAGCATATGAGGGATAGGTGTTTGAAGAAGGCCATATTAGAGGGGCAATATGTCTGAATAATGTGAGCAGAGGCAGAGGCCATACATTTCTGTTATATCCTGGCTTTAGTATAATTGCTCTGGGTTTACAAGTCATTGCCACATTCTCTGATGAGCAACCTTCCCAGCTGGAGTAAATAGGCCCAACTAAATGTTAAAGTATAGTCTCCGCATAACTAAGCCTAAGGGATATCTTCCTTGATTATCCTGAATGTTTCAATTTCCAGTAACATAGCAGACTTAGTTCTGCCTAGTGATAAAAGGCAGTTGGACAACAGGCTGGGGCTTAAGTGTCCAATTTTAAGAGCACCTCCCCCAAATAGCCAAAACTAAACCAAAGCAAACATGAGATTGCATTTTAGCTTCTCCACTTATTTCTTTTAAGTGGAAAGACAAGTATTTTCCCCCATGACCAATTAAAAAACCACTTTTTAAACACTTCTAGCCAGATACTTAATCTTAACTTAGCTTAAATGATAAAATATGAGTTTAAATTTTTTTAAATATACAGCTCCTTTCCTCTATTTCCCTCATAGTGGTGAGAGAGGCAGGCCACCAGAAAGAGTGCCTCACATTAGTTCTAGATAGGCCATGGACTTAAAGCAAGCAGCCCCTGACAAAACACCTTTGTACATATGTACATATGTTCATGCTACTTTAATGGCCAAGGAGTATTTCAGAGACTGACATATGCTGTTATAATGAATTAGTTTCCAGCAGCATTTTTCCTCATATGAGTGTGAGAACTCATGTCCTCCACCCAGACTCTCACATTTCTGAAATCATTTCATTCCATGAAATCTAAGGTATAAATGAATCATTCTTTGTACTGCTATAGGGATATAATCCCTTGATTCACCTATCTCATGAAGCCTTGCGGCTTATATGAGTAAATCAGAGTTGTACTTTCATACCTAGTTACTATTATGTATCTTTCCACCGACACCTGACCAGCTGCGAACTACAACCAGATTTATAGTTTAAAGGAGTATATCATTATTTCACACAACTCAGGATGAAATAAGTTTTGAGATGAAATTAAAGAATATCACAATACACTCATTCAGAAACAGGGGCATAATAAAGAAGCAGAGCTCTCTAATTATTGAATTAGCATTAACCCTCTCTGGCAAATGACAGATTTACAAGGGTTTCGAGATCTGCCTCTAAGATTGACATTGCCAGTGCTAGAATACCACCACAGTATTGAAACTTTAGGTACATTATTAAGGATAAATCATGAAACAGTACCAGTACTGTATTTATTACCTGTATTCTGAAGAAAGAACAACAGCACCAATTGCATAAAGTTGTAAAATACCAGTAATAAACATCATGTTTGCAATTCCAATAAAACACAGACATCTACAAAGAAATATTATATAGGTATATATAATATAATAAAACCATTCATTGAGATACAAGAAACATCATATTGTTGTACTATATAAAACAGCTGTACAGTGTGCACACAAACTTGCCCAGTCTCTCCAAATTGTTTGCCAATTACCTCTCCCTAACCTCGGGCACTTAACGCAGAATTTGTTCAGTGTCCATGTGAGAGCAGTAGGTAACTATCTTGTATTTTTAAACTATGTACTTACAGTGTTTTCCATATATAAAAAAGGAAAAGAAACACACGTATATACACACGCACACAAACACACAACAGATCTATGTAACTCCTGCTTCCTGTGCTCTTGAATGGGTACTTGTAGAAAATCCTGCACACATTGCAGGGGCAGAAACCTGCTGACTTTACAGATTGAAATCATTAAATGGCTTTACTTTGAATATCCCACAAATGAACAAATTGAAATCACATAGTGGTGTCCCAGATCCCTGAAGAAAGTCTGTTGCAGGGGGTATCTTCCGCCTTCTTCAGCAGAGTTGGCTTCTTACAGGGAGGTGGGGGAGGGGCCGTGATTCTCTCCTCTGTGCTGTGCAGGATGTTCTGCCAGTCACTTCTCTCTTCGCACAGCTTTCGCCTCCAGTCCAGAAGTTCCTGCAGTGCGGCGCTCTCATTGTCTGACAGTCTGAGCTGGTGGATAACCTGTTAGTGAGAAGGGAAGGAAAAGAATGCATCTACAGTCATCACTGGGCTCCCAGGCCAGCGGCGCTCTAGGCAATTGCCTAGTTCGCCTAGGCTCACAGGCTGCCCCTGATGCTATGGAGTTTCTGGGGTGCGGCTCCCATATAATTTCTTAGGGTATGTCTACACTACAATGTTAATTCAAGTTATCTTAATTCAAAATAGTTAATTCAAATTAAGCTAATTCGAATTAACGCATCTATACACAAAAACTATTTTGAATTAGCCTTTTGCTAATTCGAAATAGCATGTCCACATTTAGTGGACCCTGAACTGAAGTTAAGGTTGGTTGGAACCAGTACCGGCAGGGCATCAGTTTAGGATTTAGTGTGTGGGGCTGCTGCCTGAGGCTAACTGAGCTCCGTGCTTAAAGGGACCCTACCCCCACCCTGGACAGACAGTTCTCAGGGTTCCCTGCTTGCTTGTCTACTTCAATGAGGGACAGCAAAGCAGTCCTGGCTTGGAGTGCCCTGAGTGCCCTCACTCGGGACACCACAGCACTCAGCCATCAGCCTGGCTGCACTTGTTACAGGCTGCCATCCAGGAGGCCCTGCAGGAGAGCATCCACCCCAAGGAGCCCTCAGAGCCACCCAGGTCCTCCCTACCAGGGGCTCATGCCCCATTCCTCCCTCATGTTCTTCCACTTACCCCTCTCTAGCCCCCCTTCCTGATATAAAAAATAAAGGACAAATTTTTTCAAAAATATAAACTCTCTTTTTATTTAACGAAACTGGGAGGAGGGATGAAATTCTGGGGAGATTGGAGAAAGGAGGCGGGAGAAAGGAGGAGAGAGAGTGTGGGAGAGGGGAGGGGCAACTGGGAGGAGGGAGTTGGAAGGGGGAAGCAAGAAGAAGAAGAAGGGGGAGGGGAAGCTCAAGGGTGAGGGTCTTGCCAGGCCACATGTCTCTGATCACTGTAGGTGCGGGGGCCTCGGTGTCCCCCAGAGAATGGGAGGAGGGTGTGGAGATAGAGAAGGAGGGGATTGAGGAGGCAGAGATGGGAGGGGGAAAAGAAGTTGGACGAGGAGCAGGTGCTTCAGCGGCACGGCCAGCATACTCTGCAACAGGGTGAGCAGATCTTCAAAGAGGGCACGACCCTGGTCAAGCAACTCCTGGTAGAATTCCCTCTCATCTTGTGCCCACTGCTCGAGGGTGAGGTGCATGGCTCGCAGGGCCCCCGGGTGCTGTTCATGGTACCCCTGATGTGTGGCGGTGGATACACTGAACCCTCTGGTGCGGGAGGAGGTCCCGGGCTGGGAGGTGCACCCTGCACCCGCAGCTGGTGCGGCTGTGGAGAAAGAAGAGAAGTGGTCAGTTCTCTCTGGGGACAGAGTGGGTGAAGCCCAGATCCTGTCTGCGAGGTGAAGATGACCATGCCCTGCACTGTCAGAGCTGACATGCTTGCACAGAGGCCATGGTTGGGATGTCTGGCTGTCCCTGGGAGTGGGAGCTGCCCCAAGACCACTGAGGGAGGAGTGTGGCTCTCCCCTGCCTCTGTGTAGAGGGGGCGTGTGAAGGGAGGGCATCCTGCTGGGTCCCACCCCAGGGTCGGGAGTGTGTCAGGTCTCTTCACACACGTGTGTGGCTATCGGGCCATGGCCCCTGTGTGGCACGCAGCTGGAGCCACCTGCCCAAGGGTGGAATGGCACATGCCTGCACGTGCACAGGTGGCTGCCTGATCTGTCGGAGGCCCACGTGCGCGGTCCCTGGTTCCCCATACCTCCCCCCCCCCAGGTAGGGGACGGTGATGGCACTTACCTGGTGTGGCCTCCCCTGATGACCCTGCTGACTCTGGTGCCGGGACAGCTCAGGGGTCCCGGTGGCGTGGCACCTTCCGTGCTGGTCACTCTGGTCCCAGCTTGCTGGTCTTTGGGGTGGCGCGGACCGTCCCACTCCCCAGGATGCGGTTGAGGTTGGGGAAGTAGGGGCAGGTGTCAGCCCCTGCTGAGGCGCTGTCCCTGGTGGTCCTGGCATACCCCTGCTGAAGTTCTTTTATTTTGAGGCGCACCTGCTCCTGCATACACCTGTGGCCCTTTCTGGCCATGGTGGCCGCTATGCAGCAATAGATGGCCGCATTCCTCTGCCTAGTGCAGAGATCATGGACATTGGGGGCCTCCCCCCAAACCTCAATGAGGTCCATGATCTCCGTACTAGTCCAGGCGGGCGTGCGCTGTCTACAGCCCCTGGCTGGCCCCTGGGAATTGGGGGACTGGGCGGGGGACACTGGGCTGGCACTGCCTGCATGGCTCATGATGGGGCTGGCAGGGCTGGCTCTCTACAGGCAGGCCTCTGGCTCGCACATGCCAAGTAGCCTGACTCTACCCCTGGCTCCGGGGCTGGTGGAGAGGAGAGTAAGTTTTCCTGGTTGTGCCCAAAGTGGCCACCAGGGCACCCTGGGAAGGGCTGGAGGCCAGCTAATTCGAATTAAGTGTCTACACAGCACTTCATTCGAATTAGCTAATTCAAATTTGGCGTTACTCCTCGTAGTACCTGGATCAAGAAGCTCCAACCTTTACCCTCAGAGATAGTAACCAGTCCCAACTTTCACAAACGTTAGCCAAAGGTTTGCCTCTACTTCATAACCAGTCTTGGCGGACTTAGATTTAAAAAAATCCTTTTGACAGGTAACATTGATGGCTACTTTTCAGCATTTCTAATTGTTTATATATTTAAATTTTCACAGTTGAAGCAACATGTTTTAAACATATTTTCTATTTTTATCTATCATAGTTGTGGGAAGTTAGGAAGGGTCACACAATTATTTAATAACAGCAGATGCTGAATTATATAAAATAAGAGTGTTATAATGGTTTAAACAAACTGTCAACTGTCAACTAGCATATGGAGAAGGGTGCTCCTGTTGAGATAGAGTATTTGGACTTTCAGAAAGCTTTTGACAAGTTTCCCTCAACAAAGGCTCTTAAGCAAAGTAGACAGTTGTGAGATAAGAGGGAAGATCCTTTCATGGCTCATCAACTGGAAATGAAGGGTAGGAATAAGTGGTCAGTTTTCACAGTGAAGCAAGTTAAATAGAGGGGACCCCAAAGGATTTGTGCTGAGACAAGTGCAGATCAACATATTCATAAATGATCTGGGAAAAAAGGTAAACTGTGAGGTGACAAAGTTTGCAGATGATACAAAACCACTCAAGATAGTCCAGGCCAAAGATGACTGTGAAGAGCAACTACTGGATCTCACAAAATTGGCTGACTTGCTAATAAAATGGTAGAAATTCTATGTTTATAATACACATTGGAAAACAATCACAGCTATATAGTAAAAGCTCTTTCATTTGGCACTTCACAAATTGGCAAGCACAATAAACCACCATTTCTAATCTGCACAGAAAGTCTGATTTATAGTGTGTATGGTGCAGGGCTGTCAGGGGGTGCAATGTGGGAGGGGCTGCAAGGCACAGTTTGGGAGTTTGGGTCTGGAAGGCAGGAGGGGTTGAGATATGGGAGGTTCTTGGAGTACTGGATTGGAGAGGGTCCTCATCCATACTGTTTCTGGTGGAGGTGTACCCAGGTAGCTCTACAGGCTCATTGCCTCCATCCCCCCTCCCTGAGCACTGACTCCACAGCTCCCAGCCCATTGGTCAGGAACCAATGGGGGTGACACCTGCAGGCAGAGGCAGCATGCCTGCTTGCAGCAGAACTGTCTGGCCATGCCTCTGCCAGGAGCAGCAGAGGCAGGGAGCTGATTGCACCCAAAGCAATTAACAGGCAGCAGGTTTAAAACAAACATAGGAAAGTATGTCTTCACGCAACATACAGTCAAACGGTGAACTCATTGTCAGGCAATATTCTGAAAGTCATAAGTATATGTGGAGTCAAAAAGTAATCAGTTAATTCATAGATGGCAACCTGCAACCCCATCCTTTGTGTGTCTCTAAGTCTCTGATTCCGAGAAAATGGGATTGGACAATAACTCAATAAATTGCCCAGTTCTATTTGTTCTCACTGATGTATCTGGCACTGAGCTAAGTGGACTACTGGTCTGACCCAGAATGGCCATTCTTATTATCTTGTGTTCTATCATCACATGTCAAAATATACAAAGTAAATATCCTTAAATAAGTTCTCAAGCAGCATTTCTCTTTGTCTATCTATAAATGTCAATGATTATCTAAGGAAATATTCTTTTAGTCAGTTTGTATGTGTTCAGTGAAAATAACCTTTACCAACATTTACTGATAAAAATCTAAGCCTTATAAGTCTATTTATAACATTCGGAGGAGAGAGAGAGGGGGGACTTATCTAGCTACAGAGGAGCTTTCAAAAATGTTTTTTTTTAAGTTAAGCCCTGTTCATGCTGTAAGACATTAGTTAGAATAGCAAAGTTACCAAAATTAACACTGTAAACTCAACAAACATTTTGTCTCAAATGTTACAGAGAATATACCTTCCTCCACTCTCATATACTCCAGGGCTGTGTCTAGACTGGCAAGTTTTTCCACAAAAGCAGCTGCTTTTGCGGAAAAACTTGCCAGCTGTCTACACTGGCTGCTTGAATTTCCGCAAGAACACTGACTTCCTACTCTCTGAAATCAGTACTTCTTGCGGAAATGCTATGCTGCTCCCGTTCAGGCAAAAGTCCTTTTGCGCAAAGCGAAAATGGCAATTGGGACTTTTTTGCGCAAAAGCACGTCTAGATTGGCTATGGATGCTTTTGCGCAAAAGTGCTTTTGCGGAAAAGCATCCGTGCCAATCTAGATGCTCTTTTCTGCAAATGCTTTTAACAGAAAACTTTTCCGTTAAAAGCATTTGCGGAAAATCATGCCAGTCTAGACGTATCCCAGATGATTTGCCAGAGGATAAAATGATAAAATGTTCTCTCTCTCTTTCTCTCTGTATATATGTATTTAAAAAGATATTGCCAACCCCTTCATATATCCAAATTTTCATTTTCAGTGAGGGTGGGTGCATTTGGAACATGGTGTAGGTCATATAGATGCAGGAG